GCCCAGGCCCAGAGTTCAAGCCCCACGACCGACCAAAAAAAAAAAAAAAGAAGTAATTGAGTCCTGGCCATGAAGTTTGGAAGAGAAGGAGTTAAAAGGGAAAGAAGAAGAAAAAGAGAGGCTAATAAAAAAAGAGCAAACAAGAAAAGCCAAGTATCCAACAGCTGTTACATTTACTAATCAGAATATAGTCACATTTGTCCATTTTTGTTTTTGTTCTGGTCCTAGGACTTGAATTCAGGACCTGGATATGTCCTTGCACTTTTTTGTGCCAGATTAGCACTCTTACTGCTTGAGCCATAGTTCTGCTTTCAGCTTTTTTATTGATTAATTGGAGATAGGAATATTCTGGGCTTTCCTGCTTGGGCTGGCTTTGAATCACAATCTTCTGATCTCTGTCTCCTGAGCAGCTAGGATTATAGGTATAAGCCACTGGCCTCTTGGCTCTATGTCCCTATTTGGATGTAAAAAAAAAGAAGGAAGAAGTGAAAAATGATGAGAAAGTAAAGAGATTGTGTGTGTGTGTGTGTGTGTGTGTAAGAGCCTGTGTACCCGCATGTGCCTGCACATGTGCATGTGTGCATTCACATCCACATATATTTTCAGTTCAGGTCCTGGGGCTTAAACTCAGGGCCTGGGTGCTGTTCCTGATCTTCCTTTGCTTGAAGCTACTGTTCTACCACTTGAGCCACAGCACCACTTCTGGCTTGTCTGTTCTAATTGTACCTTTTGAAACAGTTGTAAAATGGAGAATAGATTGTTAGAAAAACGATGATTTCAGAACTATGGATGCAGTAAGGGGGGAGTGGTGCTCAGGTGGAAGCCATGGCCATCTGGCAGGACTGGGACAGATTCCATTGTCACTGTAGGGGAGGCTGACTTCAGAACAGATAGAGATGTTAAGTTGATGGTAGGATGAGCCAGTTCTTCCTCGTTGTTCTTTTTCTTGGAAACATTGTTGACTGAGTGAGAATGCGGAAAGGGATGCCAGAGAACTCTGAGAGGGAGGAGGGGAGTGAAGCTGTCCGTATGATTAGGGAGTAGTGCTGAAGGGGCAAGTGAATGTGGCACATCAGGCAGAAAGGTAAACTTGGCAGGTTGTGGGAGATAATGGCCAAGGGGAAAATCAGAGACTGTGAAATCTTTATATGTATTTTGTGCTGTAGACCTAACAAATGCTATTCACCCATTGCCTGAGCAATCTGGTGGTACATAGGATTGTTATAGGTTCCATTTTAGAGCTAGAAGGGACCTATGAAAATGCCTAATCCCGTGGTTCCAGTGAGGGCAGTGTGTGAGGAGTGTTTTATATCAGAATCCTGTGGAGGGTTCTGACATGGGGAGCTATGTCACTCCAGCTAGAGTTAAAGACAACAGAGCCCCAAGAGGTGAGGGAATCTTGGCCTCTGAAAAGAGGCCAAGACACAGCATGAGAGAGTAGGTGGAGACCAAGAGGAGCCAAAGAGTAGCAACAGTTGTGTTCTTGAATCCAAGTCACTTTATTATTATTTTGCGTCCGGTCGTGGGGCCTGAACTCTGGGCCTGGGCGCTGCCCCTCAGCTCTTCAGCTCAAGGCTAGTGCTCTACCACTTGAGCCATAGCGCCACTTCCAGCTTTTTTTCTTCTGCTTATGTGGTGCTGAGGAATCGAACCCAGGGCCTCATGCATGCAAGGCAAGTGCTCTACCACTGAGCCACCTTCCCAGCCCCACTTTTTAAAATTTTTTTTTGGTGGGTCATGGGGCTTGAGCTCAGAGCCTGTCCCTGAGCACTCTACCACTTTGAGCCACACTGCCACTTCTGGTTTTCTGGGTGGTTAATTGGAGATAAGAGTCTCACAAACTTCCTTGTCTGGGCTAGCTTTGAACCACAATCCTTTGATGTCATCCCCGGAGTAGCTGGGTTTACAGGTGTGAGTTACTAATGCCTGGTACAAGTCACTTTATAATGGAAAAAAACATATGCCTGGATAGGCAGACAGTTTCCCTGCTCTTGTGTAACCACATCCTGGGTTAGGGTTCTTAACTCCTAGCTCTACATCAGTGATTTTTCTGATGGACACATATTGCTCTCATTTTTATCAAATGAGATATACTACTATGCTAATTTGATAACACATTGGTCCTTAAAGCTTTTTAATTTTTCAGAATAATATTTCACTCTGGGCTTTATGCCAATTGTTACTAAAGAGTTTGATTCCAGTTTCTCATTTTCATATTTGTTTTTCTCTAATCCCAACTTTAGGGAACAGAAGTCAAAGCAATAACATATTCAGCGATGCAGGTCCATAATGAAGATAAGGCGGAAGTTTTTGTGATCATTGACATTTAAAACACCGAAAAGAAAGAAAGAAAACACTCCTATGAAGAACTGATTTTTTTTCTTTTTGAGAAAATATAATGATTTAATTTCTATAGTATCTTTTTGCTAAATTGAAGTTTACAGAACAGAAATTTTTTTTTTTTTTTTTTGCCGGTCATGGGGCCTGAACTCTGGGCCTGGGCGCTGTCCCTCAGCTCTTCAGCTCACGGCTAGTGCTCTACACTGGAGCCACAGCGCCACTTCCAGCTTTTTCTGTTTATGTGGTGCTGAGGAATCGAACCCAGGGCCTCATGCTTGCAAGACATGCACTCTACCGCTGAGCTACCTTCCCAGCCCTAGAACAGAAATTTTTAACTTTAAGTCTGACTTTCAGAAATAGAAAATCAGGGCAAAGCTTTGGTCTATAGTAATTTCTTCGATTCTTATGGAGATATTAAGGTGCTTCCTTGTTAATTCCCTGCGGTAGCAGGAGGTGCCCCACACCTTTCCAATGGAATGAAACATTTCCAGCCTGGTCCCAGAAAGAATCAGTGACCTGTGTAAGAAATAGTTGCCTGTAATCCCAGCACTCAGGAGGCTAAAGCAGGAGGATGAAGGAATTTAGGACTGGCTTGAGTTAAATAATGAGACCCTATTTCAAAAGAAATTTTAAAAATTGCTAAGGGACTGGGAAGGTGGCTCAGTTGCATGAGGCCCTGGGTTTGATTCCTCAGCACCATGTAAGCAGAAAAAGCCAGAAGTGGTGCTGTGGATCAAATGGTAGAACACTACCCTTGAGCTGAAGAGCTGAGGGACTGTGCCCAGGCTCAGAGTTCAAGCCCCACAACCAACAACGACAAAAATAGCTGAGTCTATGAACTAAATGGTAAAGTGCTTGCTTAGCACTCAAACCCCAGTACCAATGATGATAACAATAATAGTGATTTGAGTAGCTGGGAAGGTGGATCAGTGATAGAGTGCTTGCCTTGCATGCATGAGGCCCTGAGTTTGATTCCTCAGCATCACATAAGCAGAAAAAAAGCCAGAACTGGTGCTGTGGCTCAAGTGGAAGAGTGCTAGCCTTGAGCTGAAGAGCTGAGGGACAGCACCCAGGCCCAGAGTTCAAGCCCCATGACTGGCAAAAAATAAATAAATAATAGTGATTTGAGAAGGTACTTTTTTGTGTGTTCAGTGCTTGAACTCAGGGTCTCATGTTGTCACTTGGTTGTTTTGCTCAAGGCTGGCCCTCTACCACTTGGGCCACATCTCTGGCTTTTTGCTGATTGGTTGGACATAAGAGTCCTTAAACTATGGGCTTTAGATTTCAGCCTCCTAAGTAGCTAGGCTTACAAACATGAGCCTGGCTGAGAAAATCAGATTTTTGCACCTAGAATTTTGTTTTTTTCCAGAATGGTTCAGCTATGTATGATTAAGATATGTAAAATTAAGGAGGTTTTGTTTTAGATTAAGACAGATCATCTATATTCCATGTAGTTTTCTTAGAACTAATTAGACCTTTCTCTAGGAAATGTTCTGTACACCTTACAAAGTGATAATGATGATTTTATGTTTCTTTGTTTATTGTTAGTCCTGGGGCTTGAACTCTGGGAACTATCTCTGATCCCTTTTTTGCTCAAGGCTAGCACTGTATTATTTTGAGCAACAGGGCCTTTTTGGTTTTCTGGTGGTTAATTGGAGATAAGAGTTTCAGGGACTTTCTTACCAGGGCTGGTTTTGAACCAGGATCCTGAGATCTCAGCCTCCTGAGTAGCTAGGATTACTGGCTCATGTTTCTTACAAGAAAAAATTGACATCTTACAGAGGAATCCTCCTTTCTAACAAGATTGTAATCTTTAATAAAACAGAAGGGGGAGTAACCTCAAAATTATTCAGACTTTTTGAAGTATTTGAATTTTTTTCAGTGTTGGAGACTGAAAGTGGGTTTTGTTGTTTTGTTTTGTTTTTTGGTCGGTCATGGGGCTTGAACTCTTGGATGTTGTCCCTGCACTCTTCAGCTCAAGGCTAACTCTCTATCTCTTGTGCCACAGCTCCACTTCCAGTTTTCTAGTGGTTTATTGGAGATCAGAGACTCACGGACTTTTCTGCCACGGCTGGCTTTGAACTGTGATCTTCAGATCTCAGCCTCCTGAGTAGCTAGGATTACAGGCCTGAGCCACCAGTGCCCAGCATTTTTTGTTTTTTGAATTTTGTCGGTCATGGGGCGTGAACTCTGGGCCTGGGTACTATCTCTGAGCTCTTCAGCTCACGGCTAGATCTCTACCACTTGAGCCACAGCACCACTTCTGGCTTTTTTTCTGCTTATGTGGTGCTGAGGAATCAATCCCAGGGCCTCATGCATCCAAGGCAAGCACTCTACCACTGAGCCATCTTCCCAGCCCTGGAAGTAGATTTTTTTTGTTTTGTTTTTTTTAAGAATTACTTGGTTTGGGCTGGGAAGGTGGCTCAGTGGTAGAGTGCTTGCCTTGCATGCCTGAGACCCTGGGTTCGATTCCCCAGCACCACATAAGCAAAAAGAAAAAAGCCAGAAGTGGCACTGTAGCTCAAATGGTAGAGTGCTAGCCTTGAGCTGAAGAGCTGAGGGACAGCACCCAGGCCCAGAGTTCAGGCCCCACAACTGGACCAAAAAAAAAAAAAAAAGACTATATATGTGAAAGTAAACTTTAACTCATTCTAATTAGTATGCTAAGTTTTTCTTCACGTGTTCTAACCTGTCTACATATGTAAAAACTATACTTTCACATATTAGATTAGGAGTCAGTACTGAAGGGTCAGATTTGTTATTACATACTGTATTACAGATTGCTGTGGAAAATAAAAACTCATTTGTCTGTGTGTGTATGTGTGTGTGTGCACGCGTGCACGCACGTGCTACTACTGGTACTTAAACTCAGGGCATGGGTCTTGTACCTTAGCTTTATTCTCTCAAGGCTGAAACTTTACTATTTGAGCCACAGTTCCACTTCTCATTTTTTGGTGGTTAATTGGAGATAAAAGTCATGGACTGGGGCTGGGAAGGTGGCTCAGTGGTAGAGTGCTTGCCTTGCATGCATGAGGCCCTGGGTTCAATTGCTCAGCACCACATAAGCAAAAAGAAAAAAGCTGGAAGTGGCGCTGTGGCTCAAGTGGTAGAGTGCTAGCCTTGAGCTGAAGAGCTGAGGGACAGCGC